CAAGCCAGCAAAACATCCACGAAACAAAGAAAGGTCTGTCACAGCCAAAAAATACACTCCAGACACGCCGCTGGCACTAGAGGCACAGCATGACCGCCTAGTAACGGCCCCGACCACTGCCGTTTGACCTGACCGGAAAAAACCGTAGCAGGAAGCTAGCGAAGTCGTAGTATATATCTTCAAATAGAACTGCCCGGTAAACCGTAGGCAGAGAGAGAGAAGAGGACAACAAACGAGGGGCTGTGACAAACTGTTTCGTCGGAGTTTCACCGACTCATCAGAAGGCTGAACCCTCATCAGTCTGCAGAATCCCCTCACTGATTACACTGTAAATGATATACATATATATACATATATATATGTATATATATATATGCAAGGAATATGAGTGTAAACGATTTACAAAAAACCAAGTTGCGAAATCACACAAATGTTTGAGTAGTTGTATACAAGCAAAGAGCATAATTGCACCGAGAAACCATCGAATGAGCCAATGTTTAAGCCCGTAGGCCACACCAATAAAGTATCCAAAGTTGCTCCTCTCTGTCTGACGCCTAACACCAAGCCTACTCTACTCGCCTATCCTACCTAGTTTCCTAGAGATGCCAAACTCCTCTCCCAGTTCACTAGCCTTTACCTAAACACGTTCCCCTTCCTGAAATATGAACTATCGACGATGCTCGTTCTCTTAAGCAATTATGGCTTCCTGAGATTTCTTGATGTGTTCGTTAGTCTGCTGCAACAATTTCTCATGCAGGACACCAAATTCAATGGTTCCAGGAGTCGTAGCAATTCGATTTTAAGGCAGGAGTAAGTCTAGAGAAGATCTAGGCTTCCATCCCCGTGCAATTGATTAGGAATGAAACTTGTGGTGCTGTGTACAACATTGTTGTACAGACTGGCGATGAGAGGTAGTTTCTCATCCCAGTCATCACAACTGGGCTTAATGCCTCAACATGCTGCACCACATGACCCATCTGTTCAGCCTACCCATTTGCTTATGATTCCCAGAAGTAGTTTGAAGTTTGTTGTCCATCTGTTCAACGACCTTCTTCCACATCTCACTGGTAAACCGGATATCTCTATTACTAACAATGGTCTTTGGCAGTCCAAAATTATGCACCGGTTGTCCATGAACAACTTAATGATGTGCTTAGTCCTGACAGACTGCGACATGGCAATTAGTCTACATATTTAGTGAACCTATCCACTATGACGAAGATGTCCCTCTTGCCATTCTTGCTGGTCACGAGAGTATCCATGAAGTCCATGGAGATACTTGCCCTGGGCCAGCAAGAATGGGTAGAGGTTTGAGTAACCCAAGCGGAGCTCGAGTTCGTGGCTTGTCTCGTTGACAGACCTGACAGGTCTGTACGTACTTCTTTGCATCGCCCAACATGTCAGACCACCAAAATCGCTGTACTAAGTTAGCACTAGTCTTCTTGTAGCCGAAATGTCACGTCGCATCGTGACACTCACCTTAAAATAAACTACGCAAAATCCCCTTAGATGGAACCTCTTATACCCTGCCTTTTCAAGAAAAAGTAACCCATCCACCATCACACACTCGTCAGTGGTGGCCTCTTTCGCCTGAAGTTCGATGATGATGTCCATCGTGATGGGATCTTCCTTGTAGGCTTCCCCCAAAAATAGAGTAACGTCCTCAAATAAGCCGAACTAAAAAATCAGCGCACCTAGGTAATTTGTCCTTCGGGACAACGCATCCGCAATTTTGTTGTACTCTCCCTTCACATAGTCCAGTTTGAAATCATACTGATCTATGACTTCAATCCAGCGTTGTGTGCATCGGAAAGAACTGGTTGCGTCTTGATCCAGTTTGAGGGTCTGGTGGTCCGTTTTCAAATAGAAGAACATCCCTAACAGAAAGCGCTTTCAATGGAAAAATGCCTTTTAGGATAGAGTTCTCTCTCGTTGGCGGACTTTGCAAACTTCTTTGATGACATCGTTTTGTTCATATACTCGACCGGTCTCAACTTTTTCCCTTCCTGTTGAGCCAGTACTGCCCCAATGCCATACTGGCTTGCGTCAGTAGCTACAACAAACGGCCTACAACAAACGGCCTTTGCGGGTCGAGTACCATGAGAACCTTCTGGTGCGTGAGAGCATGCTTCAAATGCTTTAAAGTTGCCTCACACTCGTTTGTACAATCCCATAGTGTGTCAAGTCGAGTCAAGTGTTACATGCCCAGTTGGGCGATGTTCATAGAAACTGAGGATCCGCAATGTGATGAAAATGATTGAATCGACTATGCAGTGCGAGTAGAATCTCAACAAGCAATGTGCATTTCAATACATACAAAATGGTGTTGAATAGCACAGGGAAGACTTAGATACAAAACCTCACCTGACCGGGACTGACCTCTTTCACATAGTATCAGATAGCGGAGCAGAATGCTAGAATGCTAATGACTAGCTCAATCAATGTTTGAACGCACACCAAACATACATCGTATCCATCACCAGGTGTGAAGAAGCCTGGCGCTGTTACAAAGGAAGAAGCGCCAGGTCCAGACATACACAGACGAAGAGGAGGGGATCAGACGAAAGGAGGGAGAGAGATGGGAATGTCGTTAACACCAAGTCTTTGTCACAAGTCCCAAATAATCCCTCGTTGCAATGTCTGAAGTCCCGAAAGTCGAGTCTGGATCTAATGTATCCAAGCTCTTCCTCTCTCCTCTCGTAGTCTGCAGATGCAGTGAAGTCAGATGATGAGAGGGGGAGAGGGAGATGGTGGACTGAGAAGAGGAAGAATAAGAACTCTCTCTCTCTGTTATGAGCCAGATACTAACCTATGATGTTGGCGCTGTGCTGCAGGTACCTCGAAGACGAAGCTGGAGCAAAGGCGCTGCAGGTAAGTACCTCTTGCCTCCGCCCAATTTCTCTCTCTCTCTAGTGCGATACTAGCTATAGGGCCCAGCGCTGGAGACTACAGCTACCTACTTCGCCTAGTGCTCAAGACTAAAGGCTAACGCTACTACTACTCCCTGCAGCGCTCCCTCCAGAGTGCTGCGGCCGAATCCTGAAGACTACTGCCTCCTGCCTACCCCGGAAGTGCATGGGAAGTCCCTATGTGCTACCTCGGCCTGCCTCCTGACTGCCTGAAGGGCGAGCCAGGCCGAGGAGGCTGCTCTTGCCAATGCCGAAGTGTGTCAGGGGCTGGCGCTGCAGCAGCTGTTGAGGCTGGCGTGAGAATAGCCTGTTCCCGAAACCCTGGTTCGATGCTAGAGTTTCAGGGCCGGTCGTTCTGATGAACAACCGAAAATGGCCCTTCGTTTACGGCTAAAGAGGCTGTTACCATTTTTAGTCTAAAACGATATAGGGACTGTAGGCCCGTGTTTTCAAGCTTTTGGGTTGAACAGTCACGAGGCCTATAGGCCCTGGTTTTCAGGCTTTAAGCCTGAATTTCAGGCTTTCAGCCTGAGGGACGCAGGGCCTGGAAAATAACCCTCGTGTGCAGGCGCAACATGAAACACCCCCCCCTCCTTATGAAGTCAAGCCGGGGCGAGGGCGAAGCCGACGATCTGAAGGTGGGACCTGGACGCGGGCGTGGCGTGGAGCCGAAGAAACCGGCTTGGCTTGCATCTTGCGTTTGTAGCGTGCGAGAACGTCTGGAGCTGTTGCTTGAAGTTCCACACGGGCCAACCAACGGTTAGCTCGGTGTGTGCAGTATGCAAAATGCACCAAATACTCGGTTGGCCTGTTGCCGTAGCGTCGCTGGGGGATAATGTCGCCGACCTCCTGAAAACCGTCCATGGAAGGTGGGTCTTGCGAACGTCTCCCAGGAAATCGTCATGTTCTGCTGGCGTGTAAAAAACCAACTTGGAGCAATGAAAGACTGGGTAGATAGGCAGGTGCCCGAACACCTGAATCGTGAAGGAAGGTCCCTGGGGTGCGTCCCCAGCGGGTGCTACGATCGGCCAAGGCCCCATCCATTTCGGGAGGAGCTTGCGAGAGATATCTTGTTCAAGGCTGAATTCCGCTGCGGAAACCCAAACGAGGTCCTCTGCACGGAATGGGCAAGGAAAACGTTGGCGATTGGCCTGCTGGCTCATGTTTTGCTGCGTCTTAGCCATCTGATCGTGTGCCTTGATAAAGATCTCTTGCATCCGACGCAAGAAAAGAAGATGGTCGTCGCTCTCGGTCGTTCGTGGAGTAATAGTGTCCAATGGTGAAGTGATCGGCGAGCCGTGCTCGAACTCGAAGGGCGACATCCCTATAGCCGGGTGGATAGAGGAGTTGTAGGCCAACTTGACATCCGACAGCCGCTCAACCCAGTCCTTCTGGTCGGGGCGGATGAGAGCGCGAAGGAGTACCTGTGCGGTCTAATGCGCCCTCTCCGTTTGGCCATCGGTCTGAGGGTGGCGAGTTGAACTGGGCTTGAGAGATGAGCCTCATCGCTTGATGAGCGCCAACCAAAAATCGGACATGAACCGAGTGTCGCGGTCGCAGACGATTTCCTTGGGGTAACCCTTGGTTCGAATCCAACCGGTGTAGAGAACCTCGGCCAACTCCGGTGCCTTGGCATGATAGCGGCAAGGCAAAAACATGGTAAACTTGGTGAGTCGGCCGACCACCGTGAGAATCTCATCCACGCCGGTCTTGTGCTTGGAGAAACGGGCCGGTAATGTCCATGGCAATCGCTTCCCTTCGCCTCAACGGGACCGGTAATGGTCGTAACTCGCCGTACGGATGATGGTTGCGGGATTTGCAGCGTCGGCAAACCTCGCATGACTCGCAATAGCGCGTGACGTCGCCGAGAAGGATGAGCCACCAAAATCGCTCGTGAAGTCGGTCAATCGAGCGATTGACTCCAAAGTGTCCGGTGGCGGGAGCATCGTGGAACTCGCCAAGAAGCCGTGTACGCAAGTGAGGATCACTCGGTTCGCAAAGAAGGTCCTTCCCCCATGTGTGGACAAGCAAGTACCCCTCTTGGATCCGGTAGTGAGAAGGCGCCGAATTAGGAGAGGAGCAATTTGCGTACTTATCGCGAAACTCGGGGTCCGCTTGGTAGCCGCGGATGAAACTGTTCCGCAGATCATCGTCGATCTCAAAGGTTGCGTAGACCGTGGTACAATGATCTGGACGCCGTGAAAGAGCATCCACAAAACGGTTCGACTTCCTGGGAATGTGATTGGGAAAAAAGTCGAACTGGTCGATGAAAGTCATCCATCGAGCGATGGTGCTGTGGACGGTGTCTTGGGTCTTATAGAAAACCAACGGATTGTTGTCCGTTACCCACCAGAATTGGCTTCGACCAAGGAGGAAGTGCCGCCGCCGCTTGAGCGCGTGGACGAAGACGAGGAACTCCTTATTGCGTGCATCGTCAATGGAATGCACGACAAGCACTTTCTTGTTGAAATACTCGACCGGGTGCCAGTCCATACCATCATGTTGCACAAGGACTGCACCAATGCCATAGCCTGACGCATCCGTAGTGATGCACGTAGGCAAAAGCGGGTCGTATATCCGCAACACCTCCGCAGATAATAGCACGGCTTTGAGAGCCAAAAATGATACCCGCGCCTCCTTTCCGAAGTCAAATGACCGATCCTCGCATTGAAGCTTGGTCAAGTGGGCCGCGATCTTCGAGTAACCTTTGATGAAACGCTGATAGTAGCCGACGAGACCAAGGAACGAGCGGACATCCGTGACGTTCCGAGGCTCCGACCACTCTTGGATGACTTTAATCTTGTCCGATAGCGGACTGATGCCCTCTGGTGTGACAAAATGGCCCAAGTATTCCAGCTCTTGCCGGACAAATTCACACTTGTCGCGGTTGGCCTTGTACTTGGCGCGGCGGAGCGTCCCCAACACTCGTCGAAGATGCCCAAGATGATCCTCCAATGACCGACTATAGACGAGAATATCGTCCAAGTAGACCAACACGAACCGGTCCAACATTGCACGACACTCATTCGTCTTTGCCGCTTGAAAGGTCGCTAGGGCGTTGGTGAGGCCAAAAGGCATGACCACCCACTCAAAATGCCCGTACCGCGTCTTCAAGTTAAACGCGGATTTGTAGCGATCGTTCGGCCGAATTGAGATTTGATGATATCCCGATTTCATATCCAACTTAGAAAAATACTTTGCGCCGCCCAATCGCTCAAGAAGATCATCGATGCAAGGAAGAGGCCCCGCATTCTCGAAGGTGTGCGCGTTGAGCTTGTGGTAGTCGATACACAATCGCAGATCCTTGTTCTTCTTTCGAACGAAGAGAACTGGTGGTCCATATGGGGAGCTACTAGGGCGGATCCAGCCCTTGGTCAACAAATCGTCGAGTTGTGCGCGGAGGACCTCAAGCTCCTCCTCGCTCATCCGATAGATGACAACCTTTCGGCGGCACGACACCGGCCTCAAGAATGATCTCGTGAGAGATCGGCCGATCCGGCACCACATCGGTAGGTAACTCGAAAATGTCGGCGAACTTGTCCAGCAGCAGCACCACACGGGGGTCCGAAGACAAGTCTGTGGTCCGTAGGAAACATAGGCCGATCTCCTCGGGTTGCTCGTAAGTGCAAGTCGCCCAGAACGATTTGGCCGTTACCACTTGGCACCGAATCGAAGGGGGCGGTAGAGGAATAGTACACGCCACTTCCACGCCGAAGGCGTCGCGAACGCTAAAAGTTCGTCGGTGGAAGTTGACCGTGTGATCCGCACTTGCAAGCCAAGGCATTCCCAGAATGATGTCGAAGTCCGTGTCGAGAATATCGAACGTCACCGGTTCGCATGCATGAGGTGCGAAATAAACCGGTACGGCCTCGATGTATCGGTCGAGAAGTTGCTGCGTTTTCCCATCCGCCAACTTGATCGCCGTCGGGTTTGCCTTCCTCCGAACTTGTGCGCCAAGGCCAGCCCTTTGCATAAAAGATTGGCTCATGAAATTGCGAGACGCGCCGCTATCCAGCAAAGCGTTGCAGGACGCTTGCCCAACTTGAATGTGGACATACATGAGCGGTGCGTTGTTGTCATCGTACCGCTGCGTGCGAAACTCGCGGGCCACCTCGGTAGTACTATACACAAGGATGTACCCCACCATGACTTCGTCATGCGTCGGCGAAGTTGGTGGTGCATAGAAGGATAAGTAAGTGTGGAAATGAGCGCATAGTGCTGCGCATTGCGGTCCCGACAAGCGGCCTCTGGTCGGGAGAGGAAGCCATGCAAAGTCCTCGGACGTGAGCAAGTCCAATACCTCTATGTTGAACTCGCGCGCCGAGTCCCGTGAAGAACCACTTGAAGACGATAAGTCGCCGGTGCCGGAAGGAGAAGAAACCGCACACACGTCTCGTCCTTGAGCTTGAGTACCCAGCGTAGGAACGAGCCGGGCAGCATAGTCCTCAAAAGAATAACTACGAGGAGGACTATCAACTTCCGCGTGCGCCTCTGAATGAAGGCTGGTTACTCGCGAAGAAACCGGTTCCGGAAGCGTCGAGAGTGTTGTCGAGTCAGTCTCGGCGGTGCTCAGTTTCCCTGTATGCCCTTGCCTTTCAATGGGCAGACCAGTGTCTGATGAAGATCACTGTTGCACCATAGGCAATAGTGGAATCTCGTGCGCGCCTTGAACGCTTGCTCGGAGATGCCATATTGGGACCAAGGGGCTGGAGCTGCTGCGCCGCGCCTGGGGCTAAATGCGGTGTGTGTATTCGTCTTGCCGCGTCCTCGACCTCTGCCGGGGCGGCCACCTTCCCGGGCGGCTGCGAGTTTGTCCTCTTCATTGGCAGACACGGCCTTGCTGGTTTGGTCCAACGGCGTTGCCGCTGCGACCACGGCCACTCTTGGTCGATGCTGGTCCCTACTCGGGCCTACCGCAGACGAACGAAGATTCTTTGCCTCCTTGCTCGTAATGATGATCTGCTCGGCCTCGTCAAAAAGTTCCGCCGTCGTCGTCAAGGTGTCCTTGACGTGAGTCAGGGCATTGCTTAATGTCGGACATGACCTTGAGATGAAATGGTGGCAGATGGCTTTGAAGCCCATGTGGATGTCTGGGACTGATGTCAAGCGTTGGTACTCGGCGATCCAGTCGGTACTCGGCAACGTGCCTTGCTCGAAGACCATGAGCTTGTCCATAGCTTTGATCTCCGGCGGCTCGACTTGGAACCGCTTGTGCCACGCCGCCTTCAGATCATCCCAACTGATCTTGGTGTGCAAGTCGGCAGCTACCACTCCGTACTTGGACAAGAGATTGTCCAACCAAGCCTGGCACGCGCCCCCTGAGCGAGAGTACAAGTATGCGTGGTGCTTGTGTTCATTGACGTTGTGGCGCTGCAGCGTGAGCTTGAACTTGCGGAACCATGGAATCGGATCTGTCTTGGTCGAGTCGCAAAAGATTTCCTGCCTGTCAAACTTTGGAGCTGTATCGCGCGGCTCCGAACTCGAGGTATTGGCGGTGGTACAGATCCGCTTCTGCCACTGTTGCGTTGTGGTCTGCTGTAACTGTGCGCTGTCTTGGAGGGAACCAACGTCCATCTCCAATGCTTCAAGGTGATCGGAGGTATTGGAAGAGCTTGCATCGGGTGCAACGACAGGTCGCTGGTCCAGCTGCTGAAGGCGGCCTTGGACTTGAGCTAGCGAGTTGTCGAAGCTGTGGATATCCTCTTGCTGTGTAATGCAGGTTGCTAGGAGGTCTGTGAGATGCGAGAGGAGGAGAGCATCTTGTTTTTGCAATCCTCCAACTTGCCATTCTCGGCCTCAGTCCGCCATCCCGCCGCCATTGTGAGCAAAGTCTGCTCTCCACTAAATATCTTCTCACGACATTGGTTTCTTTCTTCATCGGCAGCCCTTGCTGCTGCCTCATCATGCTGGCGCTGTTGTTCAAGTGTCAGCAGACGTTCCTGCTCGGCGTCCTCTGCCTTCTTCTTCGTTGCTGCTGCTGCGCCCGTTCTCACTACGATGCGTCGTATTACTCTCGGCTCGTCACAAAGCCGGCACTGCTGGATCCAGGCCTGATAGGCCTCGTCTGCTTCTCCAGACCTCTGGTCCATGACGGTTGTATGTGACCGCAACAGCATATGCCAGGCCGGGGGCCTGCTGACGTGGTATTTCCTGCTTTGTCGACTGACGTGGCCTGCTGACGTGGTCTGCTGACATGGTCTACTGACATGTCCTACTGATGTAGTCTGCTGACGTGGCCTGTTGACGTGGCAACTCACCAATGCCGTTGCAGGGGGTACCCGGAGATGGATAGAGAAGGTAAGGCCAGAGGGGGCAACAACATAGGTGGGGAGGGTGGGTGGGGAAAATTGCCCAGATAAAGAGTCACTAATCAAAAAAGAAAAATTTAAACTTTGCAAAAAAAAATTCAAAATAATAAAATCCTGAGTTTTGCAAGTTCAGTAGGTCTCCCAACCTCCCTTGAAGTGTGAAATGATCAATGAGAGAAAAACAATTTCGACTTCGGACTGCAAATGATTTATAGAACTGACAGAATCGTGGAACTGCGAAGAAAAAAAAAATTCCTAGAAGAAATAAAATATTCGAACTTACTCAGATGAGAGTATTCGCAGTTTGGAAAATAATACCTGCAGGAGGGATTTCTCGTACCGTTTTCAGAAAAACGATTTTTGAAAAAGACAATATTCCGAATTTCCAAGTAACGGGAAATGCAACGGGAAATCAAAATTTTCGAAAAGAAGGATGTTCCGGATTTTTAACAACGAAATTTCAGAATTTCAGAAGGAAAACAAAAATGAAAATTTCAGATGTTGTGCTGTTACGATTTTCCACAACAAAATAGCAGGAAAACAAAATCCAAGAAAAGAAAAGAAAAAATCGATTTTCGGCAGTCAGGTCAAAATCGTGATTTTGGGGTCTACCTAGTGTGCTCTAATCAATCAATAAAGACTAATCAGTTATCTAGTCCCCGCACACGTGTCAAATCAGGTTGTCATGATTCACGTGCGGCGTTCCGATACCAACTGTTACATGCCCAGTTGGGCGATGTACATAGAAACCGAGGATCCACAATGTGATGAAAATGACTAAATGGACTATGCAGTGTGATTAGAATCTCAACAAGCAATGTGCATTTCAATATATACAAAATGGTGTTGAATAACGCAGGGAAGACTTAGATACAAAACCTGACCTGACCGGGACTGACCTCATTCACATAGTATCAGATAGCGGAGCAGAATGCTAAAATGCTAATGACTAGCCCAATCAATGTTTGAACGCAGACCAAACATATCGTATCCATCACCAAGTGTGAAGGAGCCTGGCGTTGTTACACAGGAAGAAGCACCAGGTCCAGACATACACAGACGAAGAGGAGGGGATCAGACGAAAGGAGGGAGAGAGATGGGAATGTCGTCAACACCAAGTCTTTGTCACAAGTCCCAAATAATCCCTCGTTGCAATGTCTGAAGTCCCAAAAGTCAAGTCTGGATCTAATGTCACCAAACTCTTTCTCTGTTCTCTCGTAGTCTGCAGATGCAGTGAAGTCAGATGATGAGAGGGGGAGAGGGAGATGGTGGACTGAGAAGAGGAAGAAAAAGAACTTTCTCTCTCTGTTACGAGCCAGATACTAACCTGTGATGTTGGAGCTGTGCTGCAGGTACCTCGAAGACGAAGCTAGAGCAACGGCGCTGCAGGTAAGTACCTCTCGCCTCCGCCCAATCTCTCTCTCTCTCTCTCTCTAGTGCTATACTAGCTATGGCGCCCAACGCTGGAGACTGCAACTACCTACTGCACCCAGCGCTGAAGACTAAAGGCTAACGCTACTACTACTCCCTGCAACGCTCCCTCCAGAGTGCTGCGGCCGAATCCTGAAGACTACTACCTCCTGCCTACCCGTGAAGTGCATGGGAAGTCCCTATGTACTACCTCGGCCTGCCTCCTGACTGCCTGAAGGGCGAGCCAGGCCGAGGAGGCTGCTCTTGCCAATGCTGAAGTGTGCCAGGGGATGGCGCTGCAGCAACTGCTGAGGCTGGCGTGGGGAACAGGCTAAGAATAGCTTGTTCCCAAAACCTTGGTTCGGTGCCTGAGTTTTAGGGCCGGTCGTTCTGATGAACGATCGAAAATGGCCCTTCGTTTCGGGCTAAAAAGGTTGTTGTAGGTCCCTGTTTTCAGGCTTTCGGGTTGAATAGTCCAAAGCCTGTAGGCCCTGGTTTTCAGGCTTTAAGCTTGAATTTCAGGCTTTCAGCTTGAGGGTCGCAGGGCCTGGAAAATGACCCTCATGTGCAGGCGCAGCAAGTCCTCGATGAGGAGGACTGGCGCTGCCTCAGGAAAGCAGAGAAGGCGCGGACGAGGTGCTCGTCCTGGTCGGGGTCATCGCCATCGACAAGGGACTGGGGGTCATGTTCCTGGTCCGCATCGCTATGGGATCCGTCTCAACCAGTACCCTCCTCACCGCTCGACGACTCGCGGAGTATAGTCTAGACACGGCGGAAGAAGGCACGTCCAGGAACTCGGCGGGGACCGCGGCGAGACATGGAGAACTGGCGGGGGCGAGATTTGCCAGGGGCAGACGATGAAGTGGGAGGTGCGGCACCAGGCCCAGATGTGGAGCCCACAAGAGGTGCATAGGTGAGCTGGATGGCCTTGATAATGTTGAAGGCATCGGGGAGGGTATGGACCGTGTATGCCAGCATCTGAAGCTGGAAGGGTTGGGGTAACCTGGCACGGAAACGCTGGACCAAAGCGTCGTCAGCTATGAGGGAGGGGGAAATCTGGGCGCGAACGCGGTGGAATGCCATGATGTACAACTCTATGGCATTGTTGCCACCAAGCCATCTAATCTCAGCGATCCGTGTGGTCGGGTCACGGGTAGGCGTCGGGCGAGAGAAGTACCGCTGGAGAAAATCACGAAACTCCGCATACGTCATACTTGCGTGAACGCCTTGCTGAGCACGAAGGGCGAGAAAGTCGCGCCAAGTGGAAGCCGCTCGACCTATGAAGCGGGCAAACATCTTCGTAGGCCACAAATCCATGTTTACCCCATGGTACCGAAGTTGCTCCTCGGCTGTGGTGATCCAGCCCTGGAGTTCAGAGGCCTTGCCATCGAACTGGGGGACTCTGTCGGGGTGGTACCGAGGTACATAAGGGGGGGGGTGGTAATGAGGAGGGAGGGGGAGGGCATGCTGCGACAAGAGGACAAAAGAACTAGGGGTACCCGCAGGGGCAATAGACAAGGCAGGAAGCTTGGGCAAAGGGCCGTGAGACAATGTGGTGGCCGGTGGAGGAAGGGTAAAGTGTATCGCAGTGGTCTGTGTCTGATGCTGCCGGTAGATGAAAGGGGCAGCAAGCTGTGCCACGAGGTGGGGAGGCAAGGGTTGACCTCTTTGGAGCCGGCGGATGTGGTCGTGGGCCAGGGCGAGTTGGCTTTGGAGCTGTGTCCTGGGTGTCATAGGGGGTTGGGCGTGTGGTAAAGAAGTGGAGGGTGGTGAGGTAGGCGTCATGGATACTAGAATTGAGGAGGTGGCTGAACACGATGCCATGGGTCCGGGCGAGAAAAGTGCGGAGGTGGGGATTTGGGAGGAAGAGGTGGGTGAGCTAGGGGAGAGGACATGCCACCTGTGGACGAGACAAGCGTGCAGATGACGCCAGCCGACGAGGGGGGGGAAGCTGGCAGGGACGTTGATGACATGGGTGGGGAACTGGACTGCGAGACCCCAAACTGGGGAGATGGGAGGTGTGATCTGCTAGGCGCATGTGTCTGAAAGAGGAAGGGGGGGAAAGAGAGGATGGAGGTGTGGGGGTACGAGACTCCAACTGTAACATACGGTCCGAGAGATCCATGAATTTGGCCTCGAGTGTGGCCTGCATGCGGTGGAGGAGGTCCAATATGGGATCCGACTGGGAAGTTGGGCCCGAACTTGTTGCCATAGAGGTGGCCATTGAGTCGGATGTAGGCTCGTGAGCTAGAAACACAAGCCCTTCGCTGGTGGAGCGAGAGGGACTCGCAAATTCGGTAGTCTGCATGGGGTCAAGGGATGGAGAAGATGAGGAGGGAGAACTGGGGCGGGGGGGGCGCTCAGTGGCAGCAATCGGTGCGTCAAAGCGAGCGAGTCGGTTTGCGGCACGAGCGTCTCGGGCGTGATTTTGGAGTGCGCGCCGATGGATGTCACAGGGAGTCAGGTTGGTACGCAAAAAGAGGAGTATACATGAGGTCTGATGAACTTCTAAAATTAAATCAAGAGAATTCAAAGTCGGAGTGAGGGAAAAAGAGAAAAATTTCCAATTCGGGGAAGAAAATGAGAGGAATTTTTCAAAAAATAGTGTGGTTTTAGACGAGAGCATGCATAAGACAATCACAAGTTCAAAAAATAGTGTGGGTTTCAAAGAAGTTCACAATTATTCATAATTTTTTTTGGGAATTCGGGGAGACGATGAAAGGTGTAGAGATGAGCTGATAGGAAAACTTTGAAATAAAATGGAAAATTCCTCAACGTATTTTCGAAATTAAAAGAATTTCAAAGGCAATTTGAAATAAAAGTAGAAAACTAATTCCTGAATTAAAAATTTACGATGAAATTTCATAAAGAATAAGTGATGACCAAGTACAGAGGAAGTTGGGAGAAGTTCCAAAATTATCTAGGTCAGATCAGGAAAATTTCTCCACGTGTTA